ATACTATTACTATTACATAATAGTTCGCACCTGCTAAAATGCATTACGTCATGGGGGTGCACGAAATTATATAACCCACTTTCCTTACTCAAATGGACATCTAAAAAAAGGTGCTTGTTCAAGTAAATCCTTCATCAACAAGAATACGTTTGATACTCGTTCTTTGATTCACCCGTTAGCTAGATCGTCATGAATTTGTGGCGTACTAACACGTTCATTTTTAGTTCCGGTAAATATTCAACACTTGACAACTGCCTCGTTTGCTTATCACGCGCAAAGTTGAAAATTGTTATAGACAATGTATTTTCTTATTAGACCTTATCCAAATGATGATGTAAATGTGAATTCATGGTCACTTGACACTTCTGAGGAAATTGGCTAGAATTAGTTGCAAAATGACGCGAATGCAAACTTCGAATAAAGATTTGCACTAGAATTAATATTGACTTTATTAGTAATAACTTAATTGATCGGTAATATAGTAGCTCAAGAATGAGCTTTCTGTTTATCACTATTATAGTCACATTAATGGTATTGTCTGTTTACCAAGATATTACTATCTTGGCTCTATGGCAAAAAGAGACAAGTCTGAAAATTATACGCCACAAAAAAACGGAATGGTCAGAAGAAGAAACTCCGGATCTGACTTATCAAGGTAATCGCGATAGGACAATGTTACTCCGCACATAAAATATAAATTTTACTAATTTTAGTAAATCTCCAAGTTGGGTAGTACGTTGAGTTAACGTTAAACGAGTCTACATCAATCTATTCTGAATATAGAAACCCAAACCAAACCAAAACCAGTACTAGCGCTAACACTATGAGCATCAGAAATATTTTAGTAGAGCACGTCATCAAAAAATTGTGACACGAAGCCGTGGAAGTCAAAAGTTAGTATTAGCAAGATGACGGAAGACAAATAATTTCATTGTACCATAAGTAGACATTATTTTGTATTTGAGTGCGCCAACTCGAGTACAAGAAATAGTTATTTGATGAAAATCGCAGTTCGACGTCTAAGCTTTAAATATTATCAAAGGTCTCTGCCCTGAAAGCTATGGAGCAGTCTAGGGAGAGATCATTAAGTATACATATAGCTCTCGTTTAACAATATTAATAATAAACCCAAATGATATTAAAGATGGTTATTATCTTATTTACTAAGGATCGGCTGGTATTGGCTGATAGGTGAAGTATTTACGCGATAGCAAGAAAGAAGACATTAGCAACCACAAGTAACGAGCTGATTAGAGTAACGACACTGCATGACATTGTTCTGCCAACCGAAGCCATTGCTTTTCTCATTAATGTGATCTCTCACAGGCATAGTATTATTAACACTTCGCCATTACATTATCGTAATAAATGCCTTTGACATCCCTTCCTCTCATACTCTGCTTAACATTATATTCGAAACTCTTTCGATTTGTTCTTAAATCCTCGGCGGCCTCTGATAAATAAAAAAAGAGAGAAAAAATCGAGTTACTATATATAAAAAAAAGAGCAACGACAATTCTGTTATTTTCTGTCAATCATGCTCGACTGTTATACCTTTATTTAAAGGATCTTCTGCATTCGGTTCCAAGAATAAATACTGTAGACCCACTATGACAGAATTCAAATTGAGAACAGGTTTCCAGTCTTCGCGCAAAATATTTAGACACACATTGCCTTCAAGGTCAATGTTTGGGTGGTAAATCTACAAAAGAGAATGGGAAAAGATTTAATAATGAGTGATTTTTAAAATTCGAATTATATTCATTAGAAAAGTCCAATGCATTTCCTCTACCTTTTGTATTCCTCGAACTTTCGGCGGATCATGTGGATAATTATTGTTTATAGTGAAAGTGAATCTAAACACTCCTCCCTTATAAAAGCCTTTAGTAAAAACATGCAATGCGAGTTATTATCACAATAGACGAGAATGTTTAAGAAATGAATACAAGTTTTTACCTTCATCGGGTTCTATGGACAAGTTGAAATTGAGCAAGTCTGATTCATCAGGAAAGCTCATTTCCATTGTGCTCGGAAGCTCAAGTTCTGTCAAGTCTACAAGTGTGAAAAAGTGATTTAGTCAAAGTCCCAACTCGTTCACTGTTAGAGTAACAATCTCGATTTCTTTCGAGCATTCATATTGCCGTAGTAAAGTAGTCCCCGTTCAAGCACTACTTTTTACAGCATGTGGAAAACTTGGCAAACAAGGGTAACCTTCTGACTAGTAGAAATGGCCCATATAAAGTTATGTACGAAATGATTACTAGTTGTCGACATACCTTTTTGAACACGAATCTGGGCAGCACTGACTTTTGGCTTCTTTTTCTCAGCCTGTGCGTTGTCTTTCTTTATTGACCAGATCTTTAACATGTTTACTATCACTATGTAACAAACAAACAGGGCAGGAAGTGTTAAAAAAAAAAGAATAGAATAGAATGTTCCTTGAAATCGGCTAGTGAATAGTCAAACCCTCGCAAAGAACAGTTTGAGTAATGCGTCTCATTTATACAACAAGAAATCCATTATTCATGTGATTTAACACGGCGCAGAAATGTGCCGCGGTTTTTGCATTCTGCCGCAGAACAATTTCTATGTGACGTTTGATCTTTTATTATTACATAATAATTTACTTTTACAGTCACGTATTATTAAGACACTACGAATTGTGCGCAGCTAATGCAGTTCTAGCAAAGTTGTGTGACAAGTGTTCTTTCGAGCATCAGCTTTTTTTCAATTTACTGAAATGTAGCCGTGATTGGCTGATCTCAATTCAAAGGTTTTATATTCATTCAGTTCCGAGAAGTTTTTGCATCGTCTTGATAACTTCTTCTGGAGAGCCGACATGCCATTGTGCCATAGTTTTCTTATTCTCAGTACCGATAGTAAC